TGGTGGGCTGGGAGGGGGTTCGGGGCTAGGCAAAGGATAAAACTGGAGATGTAGGTAGGGGCTTGATCTTGAAGGACCTTTGAAGCGACTCTGTTGCAGTGTGAGAAGCCATTGCAGAGAGGGAGATGGAGGATGGAGGAAGACCAGTGAGGGAGGTGGCTGTGTTAGTCGGCAGTGAGACACGAGGCACTGAACTGTGGAGGGCATCCCATAGGCAAGCAGGGCACAGACACCTGAGATGGAGTCTAGTCATGGACTAGATGGAACCAAGTCAGTGATTGGATATAGTGGGGAGGGAAGGAAGCAGCTGAAGACAACTCCTGGGTCTAGCTTATGTGACAGCTGCACGTTGGCATTCCAGAAGAGAGAACAGTGTTGGGGTAAAGCGCTTCTCTCCTGTTTGTGTAACTGCATCATTCCCCTGCCTACCAGGTCAAGGGATGCTTTTTTTTTTTTTTTTTTTTTTCCATCTCACAGCTGTAAATATTTCATGCCAGTGGCCATGTTTCTGTTTTATTTTGGGAATAGCACTTCAACTGGTTTTTCAGTTTAAACGACTCAGGGACTGAAGGGCCATTTTTGTCTTCAGGGGTATGTTTGGTGGCGAAGATGGTAGACAGTTGGGTGTGGGTGAGGACAGATAGCGCCTGAGGTCTTGCAGCTTAGAAGTAACATCTAGCCATTTGAGGATTACACTGCCAAAGGTGTGTGGGTGTATCTTTGAAGAAACAAAAACAAAACAAAAAGCATGACCAGCAGTCTGATCTATGCTAGGTGTCTATAAAAATCATTCTTTTATTTATTGCCTTACCTCTTATGGAACCGCCTTACTGGCCTCAGAAATGACCCCTTTGTTAAAGTAAACTTCCCCATTGCTCTCAGGGGGTGGTTGGTCAACTTGTCAGTTGATGGGGTTTGACGGGAGGAGTTTGGGGTCACTGTCCTGTTACACCGATTCATTTAAAAATTGGCCTTTTGTTTCCTCTCTTCCCCATCCTTGGTGGCAGCCAGTAATCGTGCCTTCCCGGGGCTGAGGAGTATGCAGAAGCCCCTGGTTTGTGTGATCCAACAGGATCATTTCTGAACAGAGAGGCTGCACACAGGCCAGGCCCTGCTCTCCCCTTCCTGCTCTGAATGCTGAAACAATTTCAATCAGAAGATGGATTTATAAGAGGGTTCCTTTCTTATCATAATGGGAGCCTATCCAACTTTTTGACTCTAAAGAGGTTTGCAGTGGTATCTGGGGAATGTTCTTGATGGCACAATTTTCAGTTGTTTGAAGTTTCCATTTTTTAAAAAACCTACTAAGAGCCAGGCTTCTTATGGCTGTATGTCATTCACCCCTCCTGCGGTGACTCCTGTGAGCTACATTTATTGAGCTCGCCCGTGCGTCAGGCCTGCGCTAAGCACTTCGCGTAGGTCGTCGGAATTCACCTTCACAGTAGCTCTGTGAGGTAGGACTGTGATCACCTCCAATCCTCCGACGAGGAGCCTGGAGCGTAGAGAGGTAAAGACACTTTGTTCAGGGTCGCTTGGCTCTCAGAGGTTGGCTCAGGAGTCCAACCCAGATACTCTTAACTGCAGAGTTTGCACCCTTAGCCTTGCCGGGTAGATAATACACATGTTATCAATTCTAAAAAAGATGAACCTGAGACTTAGAAAGGCTTAGAATCCAGAACCCAGGTCTCTCTGACTTTATGTTGTTGTCCCAGGACACCAGTTGTCTCTGCTCATACCCTGTGAACAAAGCAAAGCTTTATATGAACTGTTTTATCACAAACTGGCCCTGAATCCTGGGATCTTCAGAGGGAGCTGATGAAAGTGGTATTGGTTTATGATGTGGTGATGCTTCTGGTCTTACATCTGATTGCACCATTCTTTCTCATCCTTGCTGATAGAAAGGACATAAAGTGAGAATATTCGCATCACAAATTATTAAGTATTAAATCTCAAAGTCAGTTTGGGCCACATTACTGATCGCTGCATATCAAGGGCTGTGTCATTAAGGCCAATATATGGGAAGATTGCTACCTCTTTCTTTGGAGTTTACAACCTTCAGAGAAACACCGGACAGCTATTTATTTTTTTATTTATGCAAATTACATATACATACAGAGTGTTAAAACATAAAAACAACATATGGGTTAAAAGAATTTCTGTAAGTGCTCCAGGCACCTCCAGATACAGAAATAGCATGGCTGCTAATAACATGGGTTCCTCAGCAAACAGAGATCGCAGCCTCAGCCACTATCACAATCTGTGAGATGAGGGGCTCTTTTAGGGAAGGGTACCATTCTATATTTACACTCTAGCTTTCCAGCTTCATTCATGCTGACAAATTGCCATTTTTAAAGAAGGTTGATCTGGTGGATGAGGGGAGACACTGGAGGTGACAGAACAGGACAGAGCAAACCTCACTTGGAGGAACCAGCCTGTCCTTTGGAGGTGGAACTAGCCTAAAACACTGATCTATATCGTAAAGAAAATTTGACACACTTAGCGGAACTAGAGGCTCAAGCTTTCAAATCAGAAATGTTTAGAGGACTGCGTACGACCAGCTCCTAATGAGCCTAATCATCTCTCTTGCTCATCAGGCAGAAGAGATTAAAAAAAATTAAAGAAAACCAAAGAGGGAAGATAAGAAGGAAGAATGAACTGAGGGCTATGAGATTCCATCTGGTGCCAGCGTTGTGGTTTCATACCATATTGGTAACAACCAGTGGGGGAAGAGAGACTGTTCTTTTTTTTTTACTTTTTTTTTGCGGTACGCGGGCCTCTCACTGTTGTGGCCTCTCCCGTTGCGGAGCACAGGCTCTGGACGCGCAGGCTCAGCGGCCATGGCTCACGGGCCTAGCTGCTCCGCGGCATGTGGGATCTTCCCGGACCGGGGCACAAACCCGTGTCCTCTGCATCGGCAGGTGGACTCTCAACCACTGCGCCACCAGAGAAGCATGAGAGACTATTCTTAATTTCTTGTCATAGATGAGGAAACTGAGGTTTTAGGGTTTAAGGGGTTTGCCCAGGATCATGCAGCTAGGAAGTGGTACTTAGAATCTGTATACAGCTCTTTATGACACAAGGAGAAGCGAGTTCTTTTCCTACCGTAAGTGGAAAGCTTTCCTGAGAGGCCACAGCACTGCCAAATGGCCTTTGCAGTCTCTGGGTACATCTTGCATTGATACTTGGCAGAAACCGTGGAAACCAAAGGTGAGCAGTGTGGCCAGAGCCCGGCTGGGGACTCTAGTTCTCCCTCGTTGTGGGCTGCTGGGCAAGAAGGACACACATCAGGCTTCATTTGTTCTTTGCACCACAATGCAGCCCCAGTGCCTATAGTGCAGAAGGCAGTTAATTTTCCCAATATTCTCTAATTTTTGGCATGGACTGAATGCAGCCAGAGAGACTAAGCCAGGATTGTATCAAGGACTTCTGCCTGTGTCTGTGCGGAGGGATGTGCAGTTGCCATAGCAGCAATCAATCTGCTAAATAACTGGTAGCATAAACTGATTCAAAGGCAAAAAGACTGATTTGGGTCAGGGAATCACACTCTATAAAAAACAACGTCTTTGTGACTTCTGAGGGTATTTTAGCCTTTATGGTTGGCCCTGGAAATGCACATTGAGTGAATGCTCAGAGGCAACAGGGGTGTGTGTGCCTCAAGAGATGAGCACTATGCTGCTTCTGGGTAGTTAGAATAGGGAATTCCGTGGAACATGCTGTAAAATTGCTCTTCTGCTGCATAGCAATTCCCAGAGGCTTAGGACCAGTAACTAGCAAAAAGATCATGGTATCCAGTTATTGAGTTCTCCCCATGTCCTGGGATGCTTCTCAGTGCGTTACAGGCATTTGGTCAACAATCTTGCAAAGTGGGCTTTATCACCACCCATCCACACTTGTGGACACTGTTGTTAATATGCCCAGACTTGGGGAACCAGCCAGGGGCGGTGGATTCAGGATTCAATCTGAGATCTGCTTGATGCAGCTGCTAGGCCCTCTCCACCCTGCCACACAGCTTCTCTTCCTTGGACTTTCTCAAAAGGAAAGGACATTTCTACTTGGCCACTCACATAGCAAGATTGCAGTGTTCTGATTATGCTTTGTATATTGTGAAATGTTTGCTAATTATTTTTTTTCTTTTTTTTTGTGATACGCGGGCCTCTCACCACTGTGGCCTCTTCTGTTGCGGAGCACAGGCTCCGGACGCGCAGGCTCAGCGGCCATGGCTCACGGGCCCAGCTGCTCCACGGCATGTGGGATCTTCCCGGACCGGGGCACGAACCCGTGTCCCCTGCATCGGCAGGCGGACTCTCAACCACTGTGCCACCAGGGAAGCCCTGCTAATTATTTTTAATCCCACATGAAAACTAAGTCTTAGGGCAAGAGGACTTGGTATTCCCAGAGCTAGCGCTGCCCAGTTTGGGTGATTCAGGTTGTCATACTGAAAGGAAAAAAAGAGGCTATTTTTTCTTTTACTCTGGTTTTTAGAACAGTACCAGGTATCCTCCTATCTCCATTTTGGTGTAGCCTAGCCCCTGGGTAAACCTGGGCTAGGAGAAAGCATTTCTGAACCATAGTAAGAGGTGGCATGTTATAAAGCAGAAAGCAGTGGCTTGATGTCTGTGTTGAGTTACGGGCTCTTCCACTTTCTAGCTGTGTGATCTTGGGCATGGTACTTCTATTCTTTCGGCCTAGTCTCCACTCTGTAAAAAGGGGATGATAGTGATGGTGGTACCACCTAACTCTCAGTTGCCTAGAATGCTCTTTGGAGTGAGACAGAGGTAAAAATTGCCACACAACCTTTAGGAGTAAAGATGCCTGCGGATTCCTTTGCATCAAGGAGTCTATTCCCTCATCCATGAATCCCAATTTTTAATTTTTGTTCTTTTACTTAGTGGCTCTGAATTAAATGTTTGTAGAATGAATAAAGTCTAGGAAAGCACTTCAGAGAGTGCCTGTCACATGGTTATGGTTTAATAAATATTAGTTTCTTATTTAAACAAAGCTTAAAAATTATTCGATCATCCTTCATCTTTAGATCTAGTTTGTAGGTGCTAGTTAGACTTGGTACTCCAGAGGAATTTGAGCCCTGGGAGCCCAGAGGAAGGAGATTAAGCCTTGCCTTTGTGTTTTCTGTTCCCTATTTCTGACTCCGTGACTGAAAGTCCAGAGGTGAGCCGAACACTGTGAACTGAATTCCCGTCTGGAAGTCTCACCTTTCCAGGGTCTGCTGCCACAGAGCTGGCTCAGGAAACTCTGGAAATGAACTTTATGCAGTGTGCAATTTGACTCTGCCGTGCCAGCTGGAATACACCTTTAGGAGCTGAGTAGGTGAGTTCATTTGGGGGATCCTACTGTTTTTCAGCCTCTCAGCTGAACAGTCATTTCTGGTAAAAATATAGTCTTCGAGCCAGCTCTTTTCACATGGACTGTCAGTGGCTTATAAACATCATACAGGCAGGGCTGGGCTGCATTTTGAGCTTGTGACCTGGAGGTGAACGTTCTGCCCATTCCTTCTAATCATTCTTCTTCATGAGGTGGTAGTTTTGCACTGACTTACAGCCCCTCTGGTTTTCTGTGCAGGGCCCTACTGCAATTTGTGGCTTCAGAATAAGTGCTCAGTGTTTTTCCTGTGTGTGGACATTGATTTGTTTTTTTTTTTTTTTAAACCTGGAGTACAAACCGAACCTGTGCCCGCTATCTGAATATCTCTAATTAGAAGACTTGCACAGATCTACCAATTGACTTTCATAGATTGAACCCAAGTCTGCCACTGCGTTGGAGGGGAAATGAGATTTCCTTGCCTCCCAAGTTATCTTCAGCATTTTGTCTGAATGCAGACACATTTCCCAAATTCAAGATACAACGATAGGTAGGGAAGAGTTGCTGAGAGCCCGGGGGGCAGAATGCAATCATCACACAGGTAAATTATCTGTGCTGTGAGAAAATGGAGCAGTAAATGAACCGTGAGTCTCCTGCACTGGGAGGTCATGTATGTTACGGTGCCACACCAACCTGCTTCTCTGATTATGGTTAGAATCGAGGCTGCCATTCATGCCTTCCCTTTTTTTTTTTTTGTTCCTTTTCTCTTTATATTCTACTGAGCTTTGTTTTACTTCAGCTTCTCTGTATTCTACCAATTAAGCCCCAAATTGGCAGCTAAGACAAAATACAAATGAAAGGAAGGGGGCGGTGAGAAAATGGACAAAGGCAAATGAGAATAAAGATGAAAATTACTCCTATCTTCCCACGCCGTTCCCCTCCTGGTGGCTGCGTTGAGCAAAGGAGAGACTGAGCGTTGCATGGCAAGGAACCAGTAACTTACCAGGGTTGAATCCCTGGGCCTTCTTGACTAAAACTGTGCGGAGGGCAACGTCCATTGTTTGAGCACGTTTTCTCCCCATCTCCCCTTCGCTGCTCCAGAGCACACCTGGACTCCCCCACGTGTAACAGTATTGAGCAACATTGATCAAGGCTTACCGTATCCCAGCTTAAGAAGCATGTTTCCTAGGGAGACCAGGTTTCAGACTTCGCTTGAAAGGATGATTATGGATTTTGGAGGCAGATAAAAGGGGAAGGGCAGGCCTTAGGACGGGAGATTATGCATAAAGGCGTACAGCTGGAGCTTGTTCTGGATACCCATGCGATGCAGGATGGTTCTAACAGAGGATAGATGGCAGGCGGTTGAAGCTGAAGTTAAGGAGGTAGGCAGGAATGACGCCATGGAGAGTGAGGTGCCAATATTAGGGGTCTGGGACTTTATTCTGTAGACACTGATACATGAAGGACATTATCAGTGTCTAGTGAAACCATTTAGGACATCTGCAGCTCATCCACTCATGGCCTATAAAATCATAGTCTACTCTGGAGGACCCTGTTTCCTTTCTCCCCCTGGTGGGTATCACTTAAGGTTGGTCCACTGCTGTAAAAACACACCAAAGCTCAGTCACTTCGTGCATTTGCTCCCTCACATTTAGTCTAACGCGGGTCAGAGCAGATGTGTGCAGGGTTGGGATGACTGTGCTCATCGCAGTCATTCCTGGTCCCAGACTCCCGTAGGAATGCCATTCACATTGATTATTGGCCAGAACCCAGTTTCAGTTCTGCACTTGATCAGTTGCAGGGCGGGGGCTGGGAATGGGAGGAGGGAAGGTGGTGCCAGGAAAAAAGGAAGTGAGATTTGGTGAACACCTAGCTACAGTGTACATGCATATGACTATAGTTAACAAAGACTTTCACTTTTTAAGGGAGTCATCACCCAACCACAAGTTGGGTTTTCTGGTTTGGGGACATCCCATTGTCACAACTATTTATTCCTTTATGAAATTCAACTATTTCAGTTTGGGTTTATCGTCTGGCTTATTCACCTAGATTTTCTATTTCGGCTCCTTATAGAGAATTTGTTTTTTCATCTTTGTCCCTTCCCTACTTGGTAAAGCTCTTACAGAGTAAAAGTGTTTCTACCTTCTACTTTCACTCTATTGTAGAAGTTTGGATTGTGAAGCAACCTTCAGATTGCAAATGCGAAATTGAATAGTCTATCGAAATAGTTTTCTCTATTAATTTAGTGGAATCTTAAATAGAAGGTAAATCAGAAGCCTGTGAAAGGCTGAAAAACAGGAAGACAGTGTGTTCAGATCACATTTATAATAGAAGAAACTGCAAAAATTATTTCAGTTTGATTGTATTTATCTTTAAAAACTTGTGACTTTATTGGGCCTTTTACCCTAATCTGCATGTGTGACATTTGCTGTTTTCACCCTGTGCCCAGTAAACTGATCCGTCTGTCAAGTAAGTCATAGATTTCGTTTTGTTCTGTCACCTCCACACGTTTATTTAATTCTATGCAATCAGGAATGTGTTATGGAGAACATAATTAGCACTGCCAATGGACCAGCAGTGAGAGTGGTGCATCTCTGTGGGGCAGGGGGGGAAGAGATGCTGCTGGGTGAGGAAATAGATTTTAGTTTCAAATTACACAGGGACTGTTGTAAACCCAAAGGTTAGGAGTTGTTAAAATACAAAATATATTTGGTAATATCATTTGACAGTAGGGTTTTCTGGTTTCTCTTTTTATCCCTTCCATCCTCCTTCTCCCCTCTTCCCTGGCAGTCCATCAGTTTGGGAGAGTCACAGTGAGAGATGAGGCACTAGGCAGCCCCTTTGCCACAGGATAACTTTCCCTAAAGAAAAGCAGGTTGTTAACTCCTGTTCATCCTTCAGGTCTCAACTCAAGTGACACTGCCTCGGGGAAGGCTTCCCTGACCAGTGAGGCTGGGCGTGGAGCTCCTGCAGCCCACTTCCTAAGCATCCATGTTCCCCATCCAATACGGAACATGCTTCATTGTCTCATAGCAGTCTTTTTTTTTTGATATTTTTTAAATTAATTTTTATTGGAGTATAGTTGATTTACAATGTTGCGTTAGTTTCTGCTGTACGGCAAAGTGAATCAGTTATACCTATACATATATCCACTCTTTTTTAGATTCTGTCCTCATATAGGTCATTACAGAGTATTGAGTAGAGTTCCCTGTGCTATGAAGAAGGTTCTTTTTTTTTTTAATTTTTTTTAAAATTTACATTGGAGTATAGTTGATTAACAATGTTGTGTTAGTTTCAAGTGTACAGCAGAGTAATTCAGTTATACATATACATGTATCTATTCTTTTTCAAATTCTTTTCCCATTTAGGTTATTACAGAACATTGAACAGAGTTCCTTACTGTATAGCACAGGGAACTCTGCTCATAGTACTCTTAAAGTTGTCTTCCCACGAATGATCCATTGTCATCCTTGTACCTAGCACAATTCTTGGCACATGGTTGACACTCAACATATATGTTTGAATGAATGAGTGAATGAATGAATGAATGTGTAGTGTAAACAGGAGAGACTTTAGAAACAGGCACACCTGGGGTTCTCCTTTGACTCTGCTGGTTCTTAGCTTCAGGTTGGTGGGTAAATTATTTAATCTTTACACGACCCAGTCACCAGAGCTGCAAAATAAAGATGGTAGGTCCTAATTGCATGGTTCTGAGGATTAAGTGAAACAGTGGACATGCAGCCCCTGTGAGAATTTCTATCACAGGCTTGCAAATTAAATATCAGTTCTGTAGTCCGTGGAGGGTTTGGAGCAGGAAAGTGACAGCATGAAAGTGGTGCCTTTTGAAAGATGGATCTGGTGGCCTGGTGCAGAAGAGCCAAGCAGGGGGGTGAAGAAACTGCTGCAGTGTTCTTAGTGTGAGGAGAGGAGGCCTGAACTTGTCTATAGTTACAGTCTGAGATGCCATCTCTGGGTGGGGCAGGTCACTTTGTTGAGCTATTTAAGTGGCACATGAACGTGACAGCCACTCAGTGAGCCACCTTACTGAGCTGCTGGCCATTTTGCCAACAGGTGCTGGCTTGAGTTAGTCAGGCTCATAACCAAATGGGGAACAGGGATTCATTTAGACCCTCTTAAAAAAATGAGTTTATTTTAAGGATATCCGGCAAATGAAACAGGAAGGCTGTGAGAATCCAAGACAGTTACTCTTTCCCTCTGGACTCTCCCCACTTCACTGTCATGGTGGGCTGGCTTCACTCTGTATATTTACTCTTTTATTTCTTGCTGATGACTTTCCAAACGCCTCTCGTCCAAATCCCACAGGGTAGCTGTTTGTCTTAGCTATCATTACCCTGTTTAGAGTGTGTTTTGTGCTAGACCAGCTCATGGGTCTTCAGCCTGGCTGGGAATGAACATCCTTTGGGCTTTTTATTCTCCTTTACAAAGAAAGCCACTGGGATAAACTAGAAAGGGACATTGGGGATGGAAGATAGCATGACCGCCATGCTTAGGACAGAGCAGTTGAGAGGGCATCACAATGTCCCTAGTGTTATTGGAAAAACTGGTCCTATCTGTTGGCATAAACATAGGCCTGCTGTGATGGCAGGGGCCCAGTGACATAAGCAAGAAAAAGAATGTGGCTTCAGGAACATCTCACAGAAAAGGTAAACAGGAGATCATCAGACAGAGTATCCTGTGAAAAATGCATTTAGTACTTCAAGAAATAATTATTGGTGCCTTCTTTGTGCCAAGCACTGTGCTAGGTACTGAAGACACAGTGGTGGACAAGACAGAGCACCTGCCCTGACCCATAAAAGCTTCCTACTTGCAGACCTCTGGGCTCTTTTCCATTTTGGCTGGCTTGGATGGAGACAACTCCCAGGACAACCTTGGGCATCCTTTGTTAAAAATAGCGGAGCCACAGGACGGGATCACTGCATGGAGGAAAGCTGCCCTACTAGGCATGCCTGCATTTTATAGTTACGTGGGTGAGAAATAAACTTTAATTTTGTTAAACCTGTGGTTCTCAGAGTAGGGTGCTTTGACCAATAGCATCAGCATCACTTGGGATCATGATATAAATGCAAATCCTTGGGCTCTGCCCTAAACATACTGAATCAGAAACTTGGAGGAGTGGGCCCTGCTATCTGGGTTTTAACAAGCCCTCCAGATGATTCTGATACATACAGTTTAGGACTGTTCTAAACCCTGGAGGTTCTGGGTTTTATCTGTTACATCAGTTGGTATTATTTTTAACTAATACAGAGAGTAATTTGAGTGGTGGGGGTAGGGTTAGCAATTTGAAATGGAGTTGTCATGGAAAGCAATTGCAATGAACTTGAGGGAACAAGTCTGGTGTATTTGCATAAAAAAGGAGATCAGTATGGTCAGAGTAGAAAGATTATGGGGAAAGGGCTGGAGGGAAATAAGATCAGAGTGGAAAGCTGAGGCCTGATGGCATAGGGTCCAAGAGGCCAGGGGTGGGGCTTTAGATCTCTTTTAGGTGCAGTGTGATTTATTTATTGAACAAACTTTTTGTGAGTGATTTTTTTTTTATTGTGGTAAAGTATACATAACATAAACTTACCATTTCAGCCATTCTTTTTTTTTTTTTTTTTGCGGTACGCGGGCCTCTCACCCTTGTGGCCTCTCCCGTTGCGGAGCACAGGCTCCAGACGCGCAGGCTCAGAGGCCATGGCTCACGGGCCCAGCCGCTCTGCGCCATGTGGGATCCTCCCGGACCGGGGCACAAACCCGTGTCCCCTGCATCGGCAGGCGGACTCTCAACCACTGCGCCACCAGGGAAGCCCTCAGCCATTCTTAAATGTACAATTTCATGACATGAAGTACAATCGTGATGTTGTGCAACCATCACCACTGTGCATTTCCAGAACTTTTTTGTCATCCCAAATAGAAATTCTGTATACATTAAACAATAGCTCCCCATTCCCCTCTTCTTCCCAGCCCCTGGTAACCTCTATTATACTTTCTCTCTGAATTTGCCTATTCTAGGTACTTCATATAAGTAGAATCATATAATATTTGCTCTTTTGTGTCTGGCTTATTTCACTTAGCATTAATGTTTTTAAGGTTCATCCATGTTAGAGCATGTGTCAGAATTTTCTCCCTCTTTAAGGCTGAATACTGTTCCATTACATGTTCTGTTTATTCACTCATCTGTTGATGGAAATTGGGTCATTTCCCCCTTTTGGCTATTGTGAATAATGCTGTTATGAACATAGGTGCACAAGTAGGTCTGTGAGTCTGTGCTTTTAATTCTTCTAGGCCAGCAGACTTTGTAAGTGCTCTGGTGCTGTGTCCTGAGGCTGAGAAGGTGTGTAGGATGTGACCTGGTCGAGGCACTCACTACAGTGAGGGAGGAGACAAGCAAAGATCAATCGTGATCTCTTCGAGTGATAGGGTTTGCTCACGCAAAGTGCCTGGGAGGATCACCAGGTGGTGTCAGGGAAAGCTTCCTTCCTGGAGGAGGCTGTGCTGAGCTCAATCTCAAAGAAAAAATAGAAATTAGTCAGGTGAAGAAGAGAGGGAGGGGCATTCTCGGGAAATGGTGGGGCACTGAAGCAAAGAGGTGTGCATGTGTAATCCTCTGCAGAAGCCCACGCTGGCCTCAGATGGATGAAGCACTGAGGGTGAGATGGGAGAGAGGGGCAAGAGATGAGGCTAAAGAGATAAGTGAGGGCCTGGCTGCACAGACCTGGCAAGGGATGTTAAGGAGCTTGACACGAATCCCTTAGGGCAGCAGTGCTTCATCTTGACTGCATTTGAGAATCCCTCAACAGCTTTAAATAAAAGAAAACCCTCCAATGCGGAGCCTGAATTCCACCCTCATAGATTCTGGCTTACTTGGTCTGGGCTGGGGCCAGGACATAGGCATTTCTGCAATTTCCTGGTATTTCCAATGTGTAGCCAGGGTTGAGAAGTACTGCCTCAGGCCATGGGAAAGCTTTTAGAAGGTTTTAAGCAAGAGAGTAACAAGATGAGATTCTTTCTTCACCACTTGTACATATTTCAATGTAAAGTGAAGTTTATGGCTGATGAGGCCTTCGGGGAAAGAGGCCCTTTCCTGTTCTCTGAGCCTCAGTTTGTTCCACTATAAAATGAAGATGCTACTTCCATCCCTCAAGGGCTGTCTTAAGGAGCAGATGGAGAGTAGAAGATGACAGTAAGGAGCCCCAGGCAGGAGCCTTATTATACAGACACAGCTTTCCATTTGTGTGGCAGGATCAGTGACCGAATCCGGGGCCGAATCCCCCGGGCCCAGCGCTGTCTGGGGGTCCAGAGCTTCTCTGGACTTGGCGCTCTGCAGGCATCAGTCAGACTTTCCTTAACGGAAGACTTCCTGATGAGCAGGATGCAGTTATAGTTGGTTTGACCGGAATGAGAAGTACAAGCCGATGCAGCTGTGCGTGATGGCGATGCAGGAGAGCGAGGCGGCACCTGCCTGCTGACTTGATCGCGGGCTCCATGCTGTGGTACCAGTTGTGTAGTGTTTGCTTGTTTCCATCTCGACCTGGAGGAAAAATCCTAGCGCAGAGCCCTTCAGCTGCTCCCTTCCCACCCCATCCCAGCAGGAAGACGGGTGACTGGGTTCAAGCAGCAGAGTGAGAAGCCAGATTCTGGTTTGTATCTTAGGGCATGGCACGGCAGCCCTTAATTTTCTGGGAGGGGAGTGATTTTTTTTTTCTTTATCTTTACCACTCCTGGAGGGCGTGAACCATGCCTTTGGTCATTTTGTGCTTTGAGCACCTTAGGTGGACAGGAAAATGTGTGCTCAATTGACCAGGGATTGGTTAGGATTGATTGTGCTGGAAAGAGGAAGAGGGGGGATGAAGATGACTTGAGTGACCTTGAGACCTACACAGAAATTGGCTAGGGTGGGGTCTCTGTGTCTCTCTCTCCTGCTCATGCAAGTTAGCAATATAACAACCCAGCCCTGTCCTATGTTTGTGATCGTTGTGTGTTAAAGTTGCCTCCAGAGTAGTGAAATTCCAAGCCTCCCCTACCCACTGACAGTAGAGCAAGCTTGATGTGAGAGTATCTGGGTTGGGGCACCCAGAAACACCAGCCGGGTGGGACGTATACATCTAAATCTTGCATACCCTTGAGGCTCTTTGCATTCTATGTAAAATCTAAATCGTTGCATACCTCTGCTGTCTTCCATTCATCTAGATAATTGAGTAGTTGAGAGTAATTTGTGGGGGCATTCTAGATCCAATGGCCTAAATGTTAAAGAGGGCAGCGTTTCTGTTCTCTCCAGATCAGAAACTTCATCTTGTTAGCTGGATTTATTTTGAGGTTTTGTACTGTCCTTTCCCAATAAACTGGTTCTCCATTATTTTAAAATAGCATCATGGGATTAATAGTGCATTCAGGGCAAGCATTGCAGCCTGTGGCTGTCTGTGGGACTGTCCTGGAGCCTTGACCCGGCAGGGGGCCCTGTAATTCCTAACCTCAGTAACAGGGCCTGGCCATGCATGCACGCTCAGATGACGGGCCGTCTGTGCCCTGCCTGGAGGCAACTCACAAAGCACCTCACTTGACAAATTAAAGGTGAGGAAGCCTCAGGCTTCCTTGCTTCTTATGAATGTGGGAATCAGTCCCTTTTAAGTCAGGCCAGCATGAGGAAATAGGAGAAAGGACTCTACTGCAAATATACCAGTTATGTTTTGTATGTTACTTCATGGCACCCTCACTGACCTTGTGAGGCAGGTATTTTTATCTTTATTTTACAGATGGAGAAATCAAAATTCCAAATAACTGAGCAACCTACCCCATCTTGCACAGCTGGACTGGTGGCACGCCGGATTCGAAGCCAGGCATGATGTGCTGGGCTCCATGCCTGGGCTTTTCAAAATGTCAGCCATTGACATCTGGGGATGATAATTCTTTATCGTTGGGGGCTGCCCTGTGCTTATTGGATGTCTAGTAGTGTCCCTGTTTGTTATTCTAGATGATAATAGTACCCCACCCCAAAACCCCACATGAGACAACCAAAAATGTTCCCCTGGTGGACGAAATCACTCCAATCCCAGCTGAGAACCACTGTCGTAGGATAATACATATGTTTTCTCAATTCTCACAACAACCCCATATACTAGGTACCATTATCATTCCCCTTTTGCAGATAAATGTACAGAGCCTAGAGAAACTGTGAGTTGACCCAGGTCAACTGGGTCTGCTTTGGGAATAAATAGCATCTCTGAGTGTCTTGTTTTCTTTTTCCCCAGGTTTAAAGTGGCGGATCCTGTCTTAAGACTAGGTAAGGGCAACACTAAAGTCCTTTTTCTTTGCCACTTTACCAGGAATTTGAAAAGCGTAGTGTTTGTGAGAATAACCTGGTGGGGGGGAGCTTGTTAGAATTCATATTCCTGACAGATTCAAATACAGTAGACCTGTGTGGGTGCGGGAATGGGTATGATAAAGCACACCCACAGTGACTGGGGGTGCCGTGGTTCAGGGAACCTTCTTTGAGAAACACTCAAGTACTTTGCTGTGTTTCAAGTGACCCCAAGATAAAAATTCAGGAGAAAGAATGGAGATGACAAGTGGAAATGGAAGGGGTGTGGGATGAGACCTGACATGCCACTACTTGTAGAGTTCTGTTTAATAACCAAAGAGGGTGCCAAACGTGTATTGTACCGAGTGACCTGCAGTGCCAGGATCTCCTGTAGACCTTGGGATGATAAGTCCGATGCATTTGCATCACTATCCATCCCCAGCTAAGGTTGACTGGGCTGCCTAGTTTGGAAGCTTAGTGCATCCTGAAATTCTAAAAATGGTTACATTTAAACAAAAACAGCTGTGTCATTTCCCAATTTCCGCTCTATTCAGGTTCACACTCTGCCTTCTCGCTTCTCTTAGAGGGGCTGGGAGGGACACAAGGGTGTACACACACACACACACACACACACAGCCGCCTCTCTTTCACTCTCACTTGAGTTCATTTCTCCGTGGAGAGGGAGTGTTTCTAGTTTTCCAAAAAGGAATCACAAACAAGAGAAGCCACACGAGCCCAGACTACAATAAAATGCTACAATATGCTTTCAAGCTGGAGCGACTCAAAAGCTGGGAAGAGAAAGTGGCAGTATAATGCCTATTTTTATCTTCAACTATAATCTATCCACTTGTAGTTTCATAGCTGTCAGGAGGGAGAAAAGGACACGTAATCAGCCCACCGATCTCTGCTCTCATCCTCCACCCGTGTGACACAGATGTTGCGGGGTGTGCACACACACGTACTTTTAAAACACTTGTCAGAGGGTTCAATTGAACTCACACCTGAAGCCAGGTTCCTCTTCCTTTTAGAACCCATCCTTTTGTCTGTTATTTCTTGACAACCAGACAGAAGGTGAAATGTAGGTGATGAAAACCCATATTCTGGATGCCTAGGAATAATGGTTACCATTGAATGATTGGAAGCAACCGCTGTGTACCTATTAGTCTTTTCTAGCCTTGGCCAGACTGTGCTACTGGTGTGTCCTAACCTCCTGGACACTGTTCACTCATCTGGTGACTGCCTATCCTTTAGAGAAGGCAGACATGGGCCGGTGGAGATAGCACAGCCTTGGGGTCAAGAGGCCTGAGCATCTAGCCTCATTTTGCTGTGCACAAGCTCTGTGACCTCTCTAGACCTCAGAATCCTCATCTGTAGAAAGAGGATAGAAATACCTCCATGATGGATTATTGAGAGAATTCAGCAATGAATGTAAACACTAAGCTTTATCACGTGGCAGAGGCTAAGGACATGCTACCTGTTAGTAGGAGTGTTTCTGTCATTGCTGTTTTATTTGTATTAGTACTTTAGTGATGGTAGCAGCAGCAGCAGTAGTAGTGGTAGAAGTCGTTTGGGGTTTGATTTCTACAACTGTTGTATACTTTGTTTTCAGTGGTTACTCGCCCACGCTGGTAGCGTAGGGTATTACGTGAGTCTTCCTCACACATTGTTCCTACAGCATCCCTACAGGCAAGTCAGAGGAGTGACTTCCTTTAGGTGTGATGGTAAGAATTTGAAAAAGTCTGTGATGCCCTAGCGTTTTCCCTTAACTTGCTGGCGGATAAGGGACTTAAAATCTTAACAGAAAAGCTGGCTCCCTTGAAAGCTCCTGCCCCCAGAGGCTTCCTTTTAGCTGTTGCAGTGACATCTCAATGAATGGAGGGACTGAGAGTAAGTTTGGTGATGATTCTTCAGAAAGTCATGACATTGGAGCCACACAGAGCTTGCTTTAAGCACTGCCCTGCCTTTTATTAGCCACGTGAACTTGTATATGTTGTTGAACCATTCAAGGATTCCATTTCCTCATCTGTAAAATAATACCTTCATAGGGTTGTGGTAAGGTTCGAAGTGTAAAAACGCTCTATAAACTCTCCGTGCCAGATCACCCGGGAGCTAGCTTTCGTGATTATTCAAGACGGCAGAGGCGTGATCCAGCCTTTTCGAGATCGAAGTCTCGGGAAACATATTGGCTTATTTGGACCCCAAACCAATTTTTGGAAATGAGGGACTAGGGTTTTCGAGTGTAGCTTGCGCTCAGCCCCTGGCCTGCACGCAGACCCCAAGCCACTGACCGCACAGTCAGCTCTTTGTCTGCAAGCTCATTAATGCAGCCACAGCTTCCACAGAGGAGCAGCTGTTGGCTGGGGTCTGGCTCGCTGAGAGGGACGCCCAGGTACTGCTGCTGCTCTGGAGCGTTTGCAGGATGCCAGATTGCCACAATGGAGTGTCCATGTGCTTCTCTATTGTGATGCCTCAGGTCGAGAAAAAAAAAGCCTGGACCCACCGAAAAGCTTTCACAGATTGAAAAGTGCACCGTTCGGGGGTGTTTAGCACTTCAGCACATGCTCTGTGACTGTGCATTCAAGGCAACGTGTCAGAAGAAATTAGTCTGCAGCGGCCACATATGTCAGCCAGCCGGTGGGAGCGTTTGCCTGACACCCAGGCTAGGGACACAGAAGAAAAGGCTGCTTACCTTCAAATCCCCTCAAGGTTAGCACATTGGTGAGGTTGTCCAGTCTCTCGTGCTCCACTCAGATATTGCTGAGGAGAAGCGTGAGTGTGGATAAGGAGGAATTAACTAGGCAGTGTGAAGAGAAGGTGGAATCTCGTGTCATTCACTCTTGTCAGGCAGACAGAGATGTGCATTGCACGCACTGTCACGCTTCCTACCACAGCCCTGTCAAGTGGGCAGTATTAGTATCTGAATTTACAGATGGGACGTTCAAAGCTCAGAGAGGTCTTGTGGCTTGAAAGTCCTCAAAATCAGAGAACTCCTCCAGAGATCTCTCAGAATCTAAAGTGTACCGACACTCCTTCCCTTCCATGGAGCATGTGCTTATAAGGTGTTACAGTTGATTTTCTTTTCTCGACAAACATATCAGCACTTAAATATTTGATTGTCATCTTCAAAGAAGAAACTCTGGCAGGTCCTATTCCGCAAGCAGCATTCACGCCCACACCTTACTGGATTCCTGTTGGGAGTTTCCTTCCTTCTTGTGAAGAGAGTCAGTAACAGTGAGTTACTGCCTCTTGCAGGTGGGTTTGACGAGTGGTCAAGAGGATGGTTAGGATTCTGTTGTCGAAGTCAGAGATGAGCTGAGGTCAAGGGAGCAGTGGTAGAGGCAAGAGCAGACGTGAGAGAGAATTGAAAGCACACAGTGACCGATGTGATGAGAGAGGTGAGGGGAGAAGCGTTTCCAGCTTGGGAAATTGTGTTGACAGCAGTATAGCAGCTTCCTAACTGGAAGTGGGAGGAAGAGGCACGATTTTCTTAAGGGAGTGGGGAGGTGGGAGTGGGCAGGATGTGCTCCCTTTAATACCTAAGGCATGCTGCTCTAGCATTTGAAGTTAGGAGGGCGTTCGGAGCAGCTGTTAAAGAGTTGGGAGTTGGTGGTAAATGAGCGATCAGAGGAACTGTGTGTGATGGTTAATTTTATGTGTCAACCTGACTGGCCTAAGGGATACGCAGACAGCTGGCAAAGCATTATTCCTGAGTTCATCTGTGAAGGAATTTCTGGTGGAGACTAGCATTTGAACTGGTAGGCTGAGTAAAGAAGATCTGCCCTCACCAATGTGCGTGGGCATCATCCAATCCATTGAGGTCCCGAATAGAACAAAAAGGTGGAGGAAGGGCAAATTCTCTCTCTCTCTCTCCTTGAGCTGGAACATCCATCTTCTCCTACCCTCAGACATGAGAGCTCCTGGCCTTCGGACTCCGTGACTTACACCAGCTGCTTGTCCACTCTCCTCCCGTCCCACCATCCAGCTTCTCAGGCCTCTGGCCTCAGACTGGGCATTACATCATCTGCAACCCTGCTTCTCAAGCCTTCAGACTCGGACTGAATTATACCGCTGTCTTTCCTAGGTCTTCACCTTGCAGACAGCAGAACCTGGGACTTCCTGGCCTCCATAATCACGTGAGCCAATTCCTAACAGTAAATCCCTCTCTTCTATATATATGTGTGTATGTATGTGTGTGTGTGGAGAGAGAGAGAGAAAGAGAGAGAGAGAGAGAGAGAAATATAAATACATATGTGTATTTATGTATTTATATATATCGTATCGGTTTTCTATATGTACAGAGAGAGAAATACTCACACATATATATGTGTGTATATATGTGTGTGTGTTTATATATTTCTATATATCTCCTACTGGTTCTGTTTCTCTGGAATGTCCTGACTAATACACCATGAAAGGAGAGACCATGGATAGGAGAGTGAAAAATGAAGAGGAAGGAACATTGAAGCTTAGAGATGTTTAAAGGGCATGTGAGGAAGGGGAGGGATGTTACTAAGCCTTGAGTTGCATCCCCTCTGTTTCAAGCATGTCCTTGAAGACAGCCAGATTTAAGGTGACTAAACCTTTGTGAGAAGAGGGAGGAGAGCAGGATCACGTTACTTAGGCCAATCATCTCATCCAGGCATGGCCATATTAAAACCATCAGAGAAGACCGGCTGATACTAAGTGGAAATCAGATGCTAGCAGGCCTGTGTGCACGCACAGATACACACACACACACACACACACACACGTGCACACAGAGCACCCCTCAGCCACACAGATGATTTGGGTCAGGTAGGCTGGACTCTGCTTCGAAGGGTAAATTTGGGAGAGAAGAATTCAAGTAAATATTCATTTCTGCTTTGCCTACTGATGGGATCTCTGTTCTCTGGGACTCCGTGCTGCCAGCAAGTTCCGGAATACCCTCAGAGCATGGAAGGAAGTAGCAGCATGGTGCAGAGCAAGGGAATCAAAGCTCGCCTTACATCAGCCCCCTGTTAGGTTCAGTGGCACCGACATGGCAGGTCAAGGAGTTCTCCCTTATGCTTGCGTGTCTCTCTCTTCCTTGGCTAGCTGTGTCCTATGCCAGACTGCGTGGACTGAGTGTGTTGATCAGGGGCCAGGGCTGAGGCCTGAAGGAGCTGGGACAGGGGAAGACAAAGGCAGAGCTAGACCTGGACTCCTAAACACTGTGCACACTGAGCCAGGTGACTTCAGTTCTCTGGGCCTTAGTTTCCTCCATGTAAATGAAGGACTTGGTGTGACTCCGCGTTTGTGCCCACTGAGAGAGACATCAGAGAATATCTGTAAGGCTTCATAGCATATGTTCACATAGGCACTCACAACAGTGAACATACAGGTCTATTCGGACATACGTTTCACAAATAACCCATTCTCAGTAATCTGAGATTCCCTAAACAAGGTCACAGTAAGGCCTTAATTCCTTTAATAGCTGAATCACAGAGGCTATTACCTGCAGCTGTTTTCTTCCCCAGATTTCCCTGTGGTCCCTCAGGGTTGCCACCCTTGTACAGAGGACTTCTCCTCCTTGCTTATTTGCTGCCTCTTTCCAGGAGGATAAAAAGCTGCTGCAGCCTTCAAGGCTGCTTGCCATAAATGTGGACATGTGATCGAGTAATGAGATTCATGCTGAAATCCTGGAAGACCCAGAGAGATTGAGATTGACCAGACCTCAAAGTCCTACCTTCCCAGGGACTTGCTTGATTCCCCTAAGACCTAAGTATGAGCCTCCACAGCTCTTCTCTGTGCATCTGGCCCTACTAATCATCCAGCATCATTTTCTATCTCTGTCCCCTCTGTGCACCCTACCTCAGCCACCCTGGCCCCTTGATGTTCCTTGACGGTACCAAGCATACTGCCACCACAGGGCCTTTGCACTTCCTATTTATTCTGCATGGAGCAATAATTGACTCTTGTCTGGTATCACATAGTCTCTTCCTCATTTCTTTTAGGTCTCTGGTTTAAGTGTCATTTCCCTAAAGAAGTCTTTGCTGAACACCCCATATGAAATACCAACTTAAACATCTTTTTTTCATACCCAGCTTTATTTTTCTTCATGGTATACGTGACACTGTCATATTTATTTACTGGCCATCTCTGCATACTAGAATGTCAGCTCCAGGAGGACAGGGGTTATATTCATTGCTTTACTCCCAGCACCTAGAATGGTGCCTGGCACAGGGCAGATTTTTTTCAAATGAATGAAAGAGTAAATGAACAAATAGTTGAGGAGGCGTGTGTGGCTCCGAGAGTCCTCTCTTTTGTTGGTACATCCCTTCAACTCATTTATGTCATCACTGAGAAAGATAAGATCCTCATTTCCATGGAGTTTATGTCCTAGTGGTAGAGGCAGATAGTATGTACATACTTTAATTTCAGATGGTGGTAAGTGCTCTGAAGAAAATAAAGGCGAGAGATGGGAAAGAGAGTGGCTGGCTAGGGTGATGGAAATTCTTTTACATGGGGTGTTAGGAAAGGTCTCTGTTTCAGAAGATCTGGGCAAGAATTGAGGACGTAGCAGGTGTTAAGCCTCTGAGGCTGGAATAAGTTCAGTGCATTTGAGCAACACTGAGAAATCCAGTGTGGCTGGAGCTTAGAGAATAGGAAGGGATGTGCTAGGAGCCTGGATTGGTGGTTCTAATCACCTAGGATCTTGCCAGCCATGGTAAGGAGTTTAGATTTTATTCTAAGACTAGACATCTTCCATGGAACCAGGTTGGCAGGATCACAGGTGGTTCAGGTTTCAGTGTCCACTGCATATACTTTGCCTGTAACTCCACTGAACTTGACCCTCCTGTTGGGTCTGGGTCACACAGTCCAGAGTCTGTCCTCTGGAGAGTTTCCTTTCTGAGGGCACATGATGGCCTTTTTCATCATCTGGTTTTGGTTATAGCAAGACAGTCCATCACACAAGTTTTAAAATAAATATATTTGACATTGGGAAGAGTCAAGGTCCCATTCCCATATTTTCCGGAGGGCTTCCTTACCCCTGTGTGTGTTTTCAGATTCTTAGGAGAGGGCTCTACTTCATTTCTTCCTTAAAACCAATAGTTAAATCAAGGAAGCTGATGAAAGTTCAAAGTCTAAACTCCAGGCCATGGCCTTGAACTGCATGCTTGTGTACATATTCTTTATCTTCTCTCCCTCTCTCAGCTCTCAATATCTATGCTTTTTCTGCTTTTTTGGTAGAAGACTCTTTTTTACTTCCCTCATTGTGTTTCTAGTGTAGGGTTGGTGACATTTGTCTACTTAGTTCAGCACATTTCCATGATTTTGAGCCACTTATAAGAATTTTTTGGCATGGGACTTCTAGAGATGCGCAGTTCATGGAATCTGAGACTTGGAAAAATCCTTAAAGATCCCCACCTTTAAATGTTGTTTCTAGTAGGAACAGTTTATTGGGGTAATTGGGTGGCAAGTTATTATCATTTCTTTGCATTTAAAAATTTTTTTTAGGCCAGCACTTTAATACTCTTTCAGGTGGTTGATCCAAATCCATTGCATTGTAACAAACTGCCCAGTGGGACGCCGGGCTGGAGTGGTCTGGGGTTAGTCCAGAATAGCGGGAATCCTTTCAAAATTTGCAGAAGGATAAAAACCTGCCATTTTTAAGAAGATCATTTTCTCCAACATTTCTCGCAAAACTCATTCTTAAACTTTGATGACTGCTACCACTTTTCTGGTAGCAAGCACTAGCAGACAACCAAAGAAATGAACGAGCAGCAAATGAATACTAATGGAAAAATTCTGAAACAGTTGACCATGCTTGGTTTGACAGCTTGTTTCTTTGTGGACATGTGAGTCCCCAGTCTACATATAGAACTTTTCTCCTAGTAAAATTACTGGTACTTCATCTGATGGAGTTCACTGTGCTGATATTTTAAGGGGGTTGGCAGAGCATGGCATTTTGCAAAGAGCATCATTTCTTCCAGGTTCTTCTTTTTCATAATTTGGGAACCATTGAGTTTTAGGGATCTGCTGAGGTCCCTCTCTTAGAAAGTCTGCAAATAAGTTTCTGTCTCTCAGCCACCAGAACCTTAGAATGTGTCTGACTAGTTTCTAAAAGGCTGTATGAAGATGTGACCACTTCAGAGTATTCAGGGGTGGAAGTTCAAGTTCATGTGCTCATTTATTCAGCAAGTATGACCTACTGTGTTGTGCTGAGTTATGTCTGTTTTTAGCTCAAAATCACGTCCGTCTGTATCTAAGGTCTTACAGAGGAGAAGCTGGGAACCGTATTTCCCAGGCTTCCCTTCCCTAAGCAGTTCCTAGTTAGAGTCTGCCAGTGAGAGTCACTCACGTGAGATTTAGAAGGTGGATAGAAAAAAGGCCATTATACTCCAGAGGCAGTTTAGGCAGATGTGTGGACAGATGGCAGACTCAAGGCTTGCAGGGTCTTCTGGCAAACCTGTGAATTACTTGCTTTGTGCTCTAGGCGGTGGAAATTATTGGTGTGGCCGTTTCTGAGGCCTTGATTCAGTGTTGCCGGCCTATGAAGGCAGCGGGAGCTTCTTGGAGGTTCTTGGCATTTGCAGCAGCTTCTTGGGAACCACCTGTTTCACTGCAGCAGGCAGAAATCTTCAGTGCTGGCCTATGTGTACTTTGCTGACCCAGCCCTGAAGCCGAATCCGGCCTCTGTACCCCGACACCAAATTATATCTTGGGGACAGAATTTTGGGTGAAGTAGAAAAGAATAGCTTTATTGCTTTGCCAGGCAAAGGGGGCCACAGTAGGCTAACGCCCTCAAAACTGTGTGTCCTAACCTGGAGGGGGTAGTGAGAAGTTTTATAGTAATGGTTCAAAGAGGGCGTGATCAGCTCATGGACATTCTTCTGATTGGTTGGTGGTGAGGTCATCAGGAGTCAGCATCATCGGCCTTCCGGTTCCAACTGGTCTGGGGTCTGTGTGCTGGTGGGCAGCATACCATTAATTTCTCCCACCTGGTGGGGTTTCAGTATCTGCAAAACAGCTCTAAGATACTGTTATGTGTATCCCTTGAGGAGGAGCCAGGACCCTGCCCCAAGGCTGCACTATTGTTTCTCTTGACTGTTCCTCCCTCATCTCCGTATCCACTCCCTTCCCTAATTAGCAACTGTTTGAACCTGGTCATTGAAACTCAGGCAAGGTCATGGAGGCTGAATGAAGACTATTTCCTGTAAGCAAGAAGTGGGGGGGGGGGGGTTCCCTGGTGGTGCAGTGGTTGGGAGTCTGCTTGCCGATGTGGGGGGCACGGGTTCGTGCCCCGGTCCAGGAGGATCCCACGTGCTGCGGAGCGCCTGGGCCCGTGGGCCATGGCCGCTGAGCCTGCGCGTCGGGAGCCTGTTGCTCTGCAACGGGAGAGGCCACAAAGGTGAGAGGCCCACGTACCGCAAAAAAAAAAAAAAAAAGAAGAAGTGGGGGACACAGAAAGGCTTTTGTGTCCAGGAGCCCCTCAGGGTCCTGCTCGGTCAGCTCTTTCATTGATGGTGCAAGCCTCCCAATCCGTGTATTCAAAGCCTTCATGTCTGGAACACTTAGAGGTTGGAGGTTTAGACACGGGTGTGGGGTTGGTCCTATTAGCCATTTTGACTACAGCTAACTTCCGTAGTCCCACAGGATATCATCAGATGGGTCAGATTCATCCTTCAAGGTGTTCCCTGAGTGTCTAGTGGTTAGGGTTTGGCACTCTCAACCTTCAACAAGCCTGGTAGTCCCCTTTGACAACACCATCTTTCTGAAAGACAGTATCTCTCTATCACATAAATCTCAAAGGACTTGAGAAGACACTAATCTGCTCAAATTTGACATCCTTGGACTCATCAAACCCTCCTTGAACCTGGTAACATTTTCAACATTACCCATACTTGGGAAATAATTCCACTTGTCTTTTTAAATTTTTCTTTATAACTCTAATGTAAAACTTGAGTGGTATCACTCCAACGGTTCTTTCAAGACTTATCAAGTTAAACATACCGAGGCATGGTGAAATCAAGCTTTTCCTAGGAATATACTCCTGGCCAGTATCTGTGTCAATTATGGGACTTAAACCTGATCAGGGAAGGGTGCTGAAAGCAGTGATGGTACAAACTTCTACTACTTCTTCTACCTTAGCTCAACATGCACTTGACCGTCTAAAAATGATTTCATCTTCACTGTTTCACAGAGCAAAAGCAGCACAGGAGTTCAAACAAAATAAATTTTAAAATAAATATGGGGCTTCCCTGGTGGCGCAGTGGTTGAGAGTCCGCCTGCCGATGCAGGGGACACGGGTTCGTGCCCCGGTCCGGGAAGATCCCACATGCCGCGGAGCGGCTGGGCCCGTGAGCCATGGCCGCTGAGCCTGCGCGTCCGGAGCCTGTGCTCCGCGACGGGAGAGGCCACAGCAGTGAGAGGCCCGCGTACTGCAAAAAAATAACTAAATAAAAATAAATATGAAAATAGAATGAGGGGATTAGTTACGTAGCTTGAATGTTTAATGGATGTAGGCTCAGAGAGCAAGCTGGGGCACTCTCCACCACTGATTAGTCCTGCTGAGTGGATCAAAATCTCTTCTGGATCAGCATCAGGATGGATGTGGATGCTGGCATTTGCCTCTGTGACGAACCGCCTCCCTCTTCTGATCAACACACTCTTCCTGAGTGTTAAAACATTCCATCAGGCTGTAGGCCAGTCACGTTATTGGGAGCATATCCAGGGCTGATGTTCCACTGCTGTACCACCTTCATGGCCCTACCAGTTTTTAAAATATTTGAAAACTTTCTTACTAGTGGGGACAGTCACTGCCCAGAGTCCTCCCATTGCACCCCACCATCCTACCACATGTCCCCGCAGTTCAGCAGTCTACAGGTTCATGATGTCTGGCACAGCAGGGGAGCTTCCAGGATCTGCTCATTCTCATTGGCTGATACCTGTTTCATACCTGCTATTAAATATTGTTAGTATCACCCCAGAGTGCATTTGTTGATTGAAGAGTTGAAATCTCAGACAGTGACCTTATTTCCATTTCACTGTCTCCTACGCCCACCAACCAACAGCCTATCAGTAACGTGTGTTCATGAAATCGTATCTACTTCTGGTTGAAAACAACCAGAGGTAGACCCCGCAAGACGCTCCTAATAGCCTGGTTAGATATTCCCTGGATCAGGGAGTAAAACCTCAGAGAAGATTCCCTTGAATTCTTTTGTGTTGTAGAGAGTGAAACTATAGGGATGGGCCTTCTCTGTGGTCTGTAATATTACCGGACCCAGACATGGCACACAAAGCAGTCAGGGTGGGCCAGCAGTAAAGATGGCCCTTGAAACTTCAGTCCAGAGAGAGGGAAGGAAGGGGCATACATGGTCCTAAAAGTATTCTGGGTGCACAGGTAGGTGCACACTGAGGTGGACTTCCAGTGTGTGGGGAGAGAACATTGGCTTTGCTGTGACAGACCTGATCTGAATACTGATCTGGCCGCTTCAGGCTCTGTGACTGTGGGCACTTTAATCCCATTGGGTCTTCATGTACTCATTTAAAATGGAGATAATTCATAGGTTGGTTGTGGGGATCACATGAGGTAATTTGTATGTGCAAAACACGTAACATTCGAGAGCTAAAACAAAAAGCACAAAACAAGCAACTTGCTCTTCAAATTTCTTATTCTAGGCAGTGAGAAGAGAAGGCTGAGGAGATGCTCCTGGCCTGAGGCATTCTTTGTGTTGTGATATTTTCCTGTTTCTGTGATGGCCTCAGTGTATGAGCATATTGACTGAGGGCCTTCATATGTTGAAAAGGTCATGTCCCAGGAGAAAGGAAACGAGCCCCAATGCTCTGCCTTATCACTTTGAGGAAGAGATGGCCAGAGAGAATGAACCTCCTATTCCTATCCTGGAGCCTGCTAACCCTGAGAAACCACCTGCTTGGAAAGTGTTCTGGACTTCCTCAGTTTCTCCAATGCAAACGAATACTCACCAGTGCCACAGAGACATATACTAAGGCAAGTGCAAGTTTACCAAGTTGCTACCTGAGTAAGCTCTTCCTTGCATGATGGCCCCTACCCTAATCTCACAGGCTGTATCCTATGGATTGTGGAAACCAGCAATGGTAGGCAATGCCCTTTTAATAGTAAAGGCTGCATCATGGGGTCTTCTCAGAACCTCTTGAGCAATGAAGCTCATTTCCTATGTATTAATCTTCGGAATATATGATTATTATCTTTAAAGTGAAGGTGACAACTACGAGCAACATCAAATACCAGTATAGATTCCTTGATAGGGAGGCTGCTGGTATATTGTGCTTTATCAGGATTCTAAGGCTGCAATCAAGGCCTTGATTGATTAGCAATGTCTGTAATGGATATGGGAAGGGATGATGGCAGTGTGCCTATCATGCATTTGCCAATCCTATTTTACTGTCTTTTTGATTCTTGTGCAAACAGTAACCTATTTTTAAGGTACAAAATAGCAGACTGAATGGATTAGAGAAGCTTTTCTTAGAAAAATGATAAAACACAAACGAAAGAGATACTCGTCCCTAAGCAGAGTGTTTTACGACTTCAAATTGGAGGGTTCATTGTTATTTGTGCAAGATGGATTTCCTGGTGCTTATGTCTCCATGCAATGAAAAGAAAAATATGTGTTAAGTGTGCATAATCAATACGTCCTAGCTTCTACCTCTCTCTGCTGAAGTAGGGTACATAGGCTTCAAATTTTCAATCAGTCTTTTTCTTTCCTTGGGAGTGTTCGCACCAGTATTCTCTCCCACAATGGATGCATCCATTTCTCCCTTTTCTCTCCAGATCCTCATCTCCGTTGATGTCTGGAAGCCACTTGATGGTGTCTTGCTGCTCCAGGTACCCATGGAAAATGTTTGATGTCAGTGCCAAGGATGCCATCTACAGATGCTCCAGAAGTGTAAATCCTCAAGGGCCTGTGGCAGTTGCTATTCAGTGGGGAGATGGACACATTTTGTATCTTGGGCACTAAGACAGCACTACACGTAGTGAATCCACAACTTCTGCTTCTGCATTGCAGCCCCTGTCTTCAGAGGGCTCACACAGGGGACTGGGTGGGGTCCAGAGGCCACGCTAAGCTCCTATCCCATCTCCCACAGGTGTATCCATGGTACTTCTTGCAAACCTACTTGTGCAGATTGCCAGTTGGTGGGCCTGTCTCGTTGGGACGTTAGCACTTGGACACTTAGTGTTCTTGGATAGTTTGGGCCATGAGTATTTAGTGATTTCAGGTTTTCTTTCTAATTCCTCACAGCCATTTTACTTCCAAGTAAAATGTGGTTTTACTGTGGCATACTGGAATACCTGGAGTAGTTGGGGTATGGAAGAAATGATTGACATTTAGTTTAGACACTCTTTTGTATTTTTCATATTCCCTTTTGTTAATTTCTACCATTTGTTAATTTCTTTTATTCATTCATTTATTCAACATTTACTGCACTGCTTGTATGTAGTACCAGGGAAAAATATTGAATCCTCAACTGGTAAATATGAATACTATAAGCTCTCTCTTCACAGGTTTCACAATTTTAGGGAGAAGGGGAGATAAATATGAAACGGAAATTCTATTGATGAGTGCAAAATGAAACATTACATCATTTAAGTCTAGAGAATAGCCCCGGGGAGGAAAAGATTAATCCCAGGCAGATGAGGGGGAATAAATGGTATTTCTGACTTTATTTTGCCACTCAATCCCAGACAGCAGTCTTCTGGACTTATGTTGACTTTGTCCAGCTCAGAGAGATACCATTAACGAGCACCGGGCTGCCAGTATGGTTAAAAACGAAAACAAATTTAACATCCTAAGCTGGAGGAAATCTTAACTGAGAACTGCAAGGAAGAGCTGCCTTGGCATAAGCTATGTGGAATCTTAAAAGGGAGCATTGAGGCCAAGATTTGCGTTCAACAGCTAATACTTTAGAGATGAGAGTTATATATACACAAGCTCATGTTTGTCCCTTACGGATGCATATAAAGGTTGCATCTGTAACCCATGCTTTATTTATTTACTTTTTTAGACCCTGACAATGTTATGTAAGGTGAGCATCAGGTCAAACCAAAGCACCAGGTCTGTCTGCTCACCCCATTGCAGGACTGAAAGGAAGAAGGAAGACTATGAAAGTCAGTTACCACATCGCCCCTAACTGTAGGGGTTGGTTAGCTGTAAATGTCAATCAGCCCAAACGAAGACCGTGGAGTAATTTGTTAAATAACTGAGTGAGCATGCCAGTCGGAAGCCCGCTGGATGAGAGCGCGGCATCAGTTGGAGACAAAGGAAATCGCTCGCTTGCTTTTCTCTGCATCGAGTGGGTCCTTGGAGGCTTAGAACTAGCTGGTCCAGAAAAAGCAGAGAAAGCAGAAGGAAGGAATGGGGGGAAGGAGGAGGCCAGTGGGCCTCCTGGAAATGTGAGGGGCGATAGAAAGGGACCCCCTCGCCCACCCTGAGAAAACACACACGACCTGAGCGAGCGGAGAGTGGAAAGAAAGCCCCGGAGTCCCCAGAGAAGTTGACAGAAAGCGTCTGACAGCCAGACCGACCGGCTGCACCATCTGCTTCCACGCGTCTCTCCCCAACAATGGGAACTTCTGCGGACCTTCTGCCCCGCCCCTCCCCCGCCTGGAGCACGCATTTAAATGAGGCCCGGTAACTGGGGGCGCCGCTGGCGCTGTGATCTCTCACACCCTGGGAGCCAGCCCGGCGTCCCCAACAGGAGGCCCCGAGGGGAGAGGTTAAAGTCTCGGCTGACCGGAGAGGTGATTATGGAGCTGCTCCCAAATGAGGCTGCTTCACTGCTGGTACTTGGGCATGTGTTGGGATAATTGTGCTTGAATACTTAATGCTTGATTGACTTGGCTGTTTTATGTTTGACCATATTTTGAAACGCGATCTCACTGTTGGGGTTAGGCAATTAGCATCAAGACCACGGGTAAAACGGGGTGAAACGCAGTTCTATGGTGATTTCTGCTTCGTTCCTGGATTCAGCACAGAAAACGGAGTGTTCTACTGGGACTCATTTGCCTATATTTGGATCATCTGGAATTTTGATCTTAAAGAGGAAGTCTCTTAATCCTGAACTTCATGTAGCTGCCAACTTTGATCTTTGCATCTTTGGTTACAGCTAAGTTTTACTCGCATTCCAAATGACCTTTGTTGTCCTGCGGCCGTAGAAGAATAGGAGAGGAGAGGTCGGGGCTGAGAAAAGGAAGATTCATGCCAAGCACAAGAAAGGCTAGGGCAGAATGTGAGTGATAAGTTATGACACAGAATCCACAATTTCAAGATGACAGTTAGCTGACTGGCTTTGGTGCCCTGTCTGGTTCAGTTCCTTGGGAGTATGTCTTAATTATCTCTGTATCCCCAGCACCTAGCACAAGGCCTGGATTTTAGTAGGTATTTAGTATTTATACTTCTGGAACATGTATATTAAAGCTAGCACAACTTCTAGGAAAATAGAGAAGGGCTATTAGCTAATTTTTAAAAATCTTTTTAATTTCATTTTTAAATGGTGAACTTAAGCATCACTCAGGCTGTGTCTCATATTATTGGGATAAAGTGTTCCAGTTAAGAATTACCAAAGGCAGGAGCTGGATCTCACTGATTCAAGATCACTTTGGGGATATTTGAAACTATTGGCTCTCTATGATAAAGGATGGCCAGGTTTCTCTTCATCCAATCTCATTCAGAGCACAAGCAGGTACTGATTTATTTAAAGAGAAGTAAGAGGAAGATTAAGTCTGGAGTAGTCAGATGACTAATTGGGTATCACTAATTTCATAAATGAAGGCATCACAACCCATTTGTTAGATTCTATAAGAAAAATAAGAACAAGCACTGATGAAATAGACTATGAAACCTAGGTGATGAGTCTTATAAAACAATTCCACGAGTACAGAAAAGTGTGGTAGAGGTATAAGACCAAATGTTGATAACATGCGTGCAGTCTGTATTACCTTGAACCTATAAGGACTCAATCTTAGCAAAGTGAAAGGGTTTGATGACTTTGGCTCAGCGGTGTGAAGTTCACATATCTGGGATATACAAACACAATTTATTTGTAAATTGATCATTAAAGTCCCTCAATCAAGGCACAACTTCTATGTTGTTCTTGTTCTCAATTAAAAATGAAGAATGATTCTTGGATTTGCATTTATTCTGTGTTCTTCACTTAGTAAAGACTTTTTCCTGTCCTGGATGTTTAATCAACTTGTTCAAAATTCGTTATTTATACTTCTTCTTTGTTTCCTCATCTGTAAAATGGGAATTTTAATAGTATCTACTTCATAGAATTGCTGTAAGGATTAAATTAAGTAATATATGTAAAATGCTTATAATTGTGCCTGGCACTTAGTGTTTGCATATATATTTCCAGTGACAGTATTTGCAGCTATTATTTAATTTGATCATCTTCTTGTTTGTTGAGGATACAGTTTCATTCGTACTTTTCTGTTTAAATACGTGTGACTCTGCTTAAGAAGACTGTAGACTTCTTCAAAAGATAGTGCAAATTTATTATAGTAAATACTTTTGTAAGGTCACATAATGAAGTATAATAATGCTCAGTCACTGCCCTAAATTTGAAATTCTAATTGTGTAATTATCATAAATGTTTAGCATCTGGGGAGTCTGGGTTAAGTATTAACAAGGCTAAGTATTATAGTGCCTCACATAAGGCAGAGTAGAGTAGTGAATAAGCGAGTGCGTTTGAATCTTGGCTCTTTTGGTTATTAACCTCTTTGAGCCTTGAGATTCTTTTCTTTTAATGGAGTAATAATACCTACCTCACAAAATTGAAGAAAAGATGAGATAATATATGTAAAGGACTTAGCACAATGCTTGGCCTGTATAGAAAGGACACAATAAATAAATAAGTGGTAAGTATAATTATTATAGTAATTATTATTATAGCTATGATCATCATTTTCTATCACAAAAGTTGGAAGATGTGCCCTTTTTTACTCCTCGTGGGGGAACAGCATTC